ACCTGTAAAAGAATGAAACTAGAACACTTTCTAACACCATACACAAAAATAAACTCAAAATGGATTAAAGATCTAAATGTAAGACCAGAAACTATAAAACTCCTAGAGGAGAACATAGGCAAAACACTCTCCGACATAAATCTCAGCAGGATCCTCTATGACCCACCTCCCAGAATATTGGAAATAAGAGCTTGAGACTTTTAAAAAAATTCTATTGGTGTATAGTTGATGTAGAGTGTTGTGTTAGTTTGCAGTGCACAGCAAAGTGACTCAGTCATGCACATGTTCATTGCTTTAAGATTCTTTCCCCTTACAGGTTATTACAGAATACTGAGTGAAGTTCCCAGTGCTCCATTAGGTCCTTGTTGATTATCTATGATTATGGGCTTCCCTGGTAGTTCAGTTGGTAAAGAATCTGCCTGCAATGCAGGAGACCCAGGTTTGATCCCTGGGTTGGGAAGATTCCCCTGGAGAAGGGAATGGCAACCCACTCAAGTATCCTTGCCTGGAAAATCTCATGGACAGAGGAGCCTGGTGGGCTGCAGTCCATGGGGTTGCGAAGAGTCGGACCCGATTGAGTGACTAACAGTTGTGTATGTTAATCCCAAGCTTTTAATTTATCCCCCCGTCACATTTCCCCTTAAGTAACCATACGTTTGTTTTTGAAACCTGTGAGTCTGCTTTGTAAATAAGTTCATTTGTGTGTGTTTTTCTAATTAGATTCCACATATGAGGGATATCATATCATATTTGTTGGTGGAGTCTGAAGCTTTGACAGCAACAAAAAACATTGCAGTTCCTCAGCATCTCAAGTCTCCACGTGCTCACACAGCCTTCATCTCTTTAGCCAGTTACTCTCAGGTTGGGCTCCCCTGGTGGCTCAGGTGTAAAGAGCCCCCCTGCAATGTGGGAGACCTGGGTTTGATCCCTGGGTTGGGAAGATCCCCTGGAGGAGGGCATGGGAACCCTCTCCAGTACTCTTGCCTGGAGAATGCCCATGGACAGAGGAGCCTGGCGGCTACAGCCCATGGGATCGCACAGAGTCAGACACGACTGAGCGCGTAAGCGCAGCACGGAGGAGGCATGGCACGTGTTTAAGAACCTAAATCCAGGATTCTTCCTATTTTAAAATCAGGAACCACTAGAGAACACAGCCCTGACTTTTCGTGTAGTTTCAATGTGCTCTACGCTCGGACCAGACCGAAGTTGGGTTTTTTAAGCCAGTGGGATCCTGACAGAGTTGCTCCAGGCTGCTTAGCTTCAGGACTTAATCTCTCTTTCTGAGAGCCATCTGGGGTTTCCTGGGCTGTTCCTAAGAGCGTCTTCATTGCTAATTTCAGTGTCTTCATCTTAAACAGAACATCCCGTGTTGTGTTCTGCTCTGTGCTCGCAGCCTGGTGTCCTTGCCCTGAACTTTAGACATTGGTTAATTCTTACACTCTCACTTTCAATTACGATGTTAGCATTTGGGCTCGTGAACTTCTGACTGGTTTCTTAAATATACGCATATATGCAGACACACATACACAATGGGTTNTAATTCTTACACTCTCACTTTCAATTACGATGTTAGCATTTGGGCTCGTGAACTTCTGACTGGTTTCTTAAATATACGCATATATGCAGACACACATACACAATGGGTTCATACGATTTTATTAATTCATACTGTTTTATTAATCAGATTCTTAGCTCTTATGATACAATTTGTGGCCATTTTCCTATCACATTATAAATAGATCTGTATCACTCTGAGTCACAACTACATAGTAAGTCATCTTAATGGATGGACTGTCATTTACTGTAATTTATATACCCAATTTCCTGCTGAAGGACAGTAAGAATTCTAGTTTTTATCACTGTAAAAGTACCATGAACATTCATGTTGCATATTCTTTGTGGAGGAGTCCAGTTATGTCCATAGAGTGCACTCATAGAAATAGCTTTGTGTGCGTTTATATGCATTTGAAAGGTTTTGATGCACGTTTCTGAATCGTAGGACACTGTACACCTCTTTGGCTTCTGGTGAATCTTCTGGTCAAGATTCTAATTCTTATGTAGTGTCTTGGCTTTGTCACAGAAATGCCTACGGCTTTGTCATGGGAAACTGACTTTTTCACCTGAGCATGTATTTAGATTCTGGGGCTGGATATGCCTGGTGAACTGGACCTTCTCTCTGTTCCATCCTCCTTCCTCCAGC